TTTGACATCTTGGACCGTCCAGATGGGATGTCTATCATTCTGGGGCGCTCGTCCGTCATCGAGAAGAGCAGGATTTCGTCCGGGTTCTTGTCGTATGGCCCATTGATTTCCTTGCACCCTAAAAAAGACCCATCTGGGTTTGTAGCGGGGGTTTTGTTTGCAGATTTTGCAGGAGCCTCTTCCCATATAGTGCTGAACCGTTGCTTTCCGACCTCTTCTGGGCTATAATACCGGCGATGTCCAGCTGAACAGTTAGAGTCACTGACTTCAGATGGGCGGCCGATACGTGTATCCTGACCATCAAGGCCCGTTGACGTCTTTTCTTGCCCAGTAGGATTGTTAGTGCTGTCCTCGGGAGTTCTGGTACGCGGGCTGGGGAGGGTGTCTGGATCTAGCATCTCCCCGCCTTCCTTATGGACTTTCTCGATGCTTTGCTGGAAATCCGAGATTTGTTGGGTACTCATGATTGGCGGGTTTGGCTCCTTAGCCGAGGGCATATTGACAACGAACTTGTCTTCCCACTCGGTTAGGGAGCTGGACGGGGCGGATATCGGAGAAACTGAGGGATGTGAGTGTTCGGAGGAGTCGGTGTTGGTGTCTGTCCTTTCAGATGATATTGCCGGTGTGGAGTTGCTGAAGTTCAGATGCGTTCGTTGAGTTCCATTGCTCGGCCGCTTTCTTTGACCAGTAGAGAGACCTGCTCCTCCTTCTCTCGCGCTGCGCCCGAAATTTGTTCGACCGTCGTTGGAATTTGGAATCTTTGTTGGAGGGCTCGGGCCTTGGAGGACTGTCTTGTCGCCCCGAGGCGCCCCTCCTGCCAATTTCTGCTTTTGTTTGGCAATCTCCTGTCTTGGGGAGTTGGCAAGTGAAACTATCTTTCGGTAGGCCTCCTGGTAGTATTCCTTCGGCTTCTCTTTAGTGAACGACCCTCCGGGAATGTCCTTTTCAAATCTATCCTTTACTTTCCGCCAGTATTGGTCACGATCGTTGTCTGTTCTCTTAGGTGATGAACGTTGCAGTGCCCCGAATGACCTCTTCGGCTGGAGAATTCTATCTGTACGGGGGCCTTTTTGTTCAGAAGTTGCGGGGGCTTCCTTTGATTGCTGTTTCTCCTTGTCGGTAAAAGACTTTGGAAGGGGTAGTTTTGTAGGGGTTCTCTTTCGCGGAGCCGTGTCAGGCGAAGCGCCGGTGCTCTCTTTGCCTCCAGACTTGTGCCGTTCGTCAGGTTTGGACGTAGAATCTTGCACTCGCGTGGGTGTTTGTACTTCGTTACCGACTCTTGTCCGCTTGCCGTGGCGGGGTCGAGGCTGAAGATTTAGCAGATGTCCATTTGGTAGATGCAAGAATTCCTCCATCTTCACCCGTTGAGGACTGCTGCAGCCCAAGCAGCTTCGACCTTAAAGCCAGACAGCGTCAAAACAATGACCCATTCCTCCACCAGCGCTGGAATATCTCTCAATGCACTTCTTCTCCGGACGAGTGTGTGCAGAATTACGCCCGTGCAGGCGTTGGGCGTTTGGTCGGTGGTGTGGTTTCATCGGAACGCGACAGGGGTCTGGAAAGAAAGCTGGCAGGGCAACCCCATCACTGGGCGCGTTCCGCGTGGTAGGGCAGGGATAATGTATGTAATGATAAGGGGTGGAATGTATAGTACGCCAGGGCTGGCCACTATTAGGAATGTAGCAACGGGCGGGTAGAGGTCACCAAGGAATGTAGGCCTGGACCTGTGACATAGTTCGGTATGGAAACTGCAAGCATCGCGCAGCTGAACTTGCTGCTTCCATTCGTCACTTGCGAATTCCTGGTGTGGAAACAGCGAACGCCACAGGTTCACGAACGTGAAGGTGCAATGATAAGAAGTAACTATTTAGATGCTGCCGGCGATATGAAGTATGCCATTATTGAGGGTCAAAGATGCGCCGATGTTGAATTGCTTTGAATGCGGATCTGATATCCGTGAATTTGAAGTCGTCCAGTCTCGTATTAAGCATGTTGCTCAGCGGCTGGATCACTATCGGCCATCAGTCAACCCCAGCCTACATTCTCAAAAGAGCCCGGGCATCCATTGTTTTCAGAAGGATAATCCAAGTAAGTGGCACAAGGGCGAACGGGAAGTCAAAAGACAATGAAAAAGCTTTTGAAGGGAAACAAGGATTCGAAAGCTTGGATGATTAACGCCGCACCTGATGCTCCAAAAGTAGTCCACGGTCACAAGAGGTACCCGGTCTAAATGACCTGATCACAACGCCAATATGATGTTATGCATACTATACATGAGAGTTACTCCTTCCATGCAACTGTTATGGTTGGCGCATGACGCCTTAATCGAACAACCCATGTTAAAACCGTCCACTGTCGCGGCGTGCGTCCAGTTGGCCCCGTCTCGGTCCCGGTGTCAAGGGACTGCCTGCGGGGACATTACTTCTCTTGAGGGGACTAGAGGGCCTTCTCATTGCACTTGTTCCCCGTTCCTTGTAGAAGAAATCGCCATTGCTCTGAAGACGACGTTCAAGATTGGCTGACGTAGACTTCTTCAGAGGCGAGTTGGCATGCGAGTAAATGCCAAGGCTTCCACCATCACCCGTAGTCGTCGGTGTCTGGCGGAATTGGGGCTGGCGAATTGCAGAGATAGAGTTTCGCACAATAGGAGAAGCATCCCGCAGGTGGCTTGGGGTCTGCAACGCGGCAGCACGATGAGATACTCCAGTAGGTGTTGCTGCAAAGGATTGGCGCGCAGATGATCGGCCCTCGGGGTCCACATGGCTGACGTAGTTGGGGTTTGGGCTTGTCTTGAAGCCTCTATGAAGCACGACAGTGGGCGTGAAGGTGTCAACCTTATTCTGCTTAACATCCGGATCGGACTCGGAGAATTGAGTGGCCACGTCTCTCATCAAAGGTTGAGTACGAGGGTGAACGTATTTAGTGTCGTATTCACGGAGCACCTCCTTGTGAACCACCATAGAATCCTTTGCTTGTTGGGTATAGGACGAGGAAAGGAACGTCATCTGTACCGAGAGGAGTGCCGCTATGAAGATAGTGGTCACAATCGTCACGCTTGGTCGAGGATCGGATAGCTGAGTGGGCAGGAAAACCCAGTATACCAAGACATGTCCAGGACTGAAGAGGCAGAACAATCGAATGCAAATGGGTAGAGGATCCCAGACGGCAAGTTCCCATACATCTCGCTGTGCGTCTGGGTGAGCTCTCGACTGGGCCGATCTGGCTATCGTATCTGCCAGATATTTCAGTGGCGAAGCGGTCACAGGAGTCGAATTAACACGGACTCGGTGAGCGGAGGGAGTTGCAGGAGCCTGATCGATTGATGCTTCAAACATGCGATAATGTCGCTTTCGGTAAAATGTATAGAAGGCGTTGAACGCGGTGAAGGTGGTAAGAAGGTGGACTATGAAGGAAGACTATCATCCTTTACGTTAGCGATGCAGCACATATAGGCGTATCTTTATTCAAAGCAAACCCGAAGTCGATCAGGTGTCACATACAAACCAACTGAGCCATGGAGTGCTTCCATCATCGCCAAAAACATCATCTATGGCTTGACTGCCGTACGATTGACTGTTGGCTCTGGCGATCAGAAAAACCGCGTTCAAAACTATTCCCAGGGGGAACGCCCAGTTCTTCTCAAACTGGTCCCAGTCATGAGTATCGATCTCCTCCGACAGCCACAAGAGAAAGTCCAGAGGATTCAAGTAGGACTTGATGCGCTCCGTCAACGGTCGGCGGCGGACAAGCCGGGGCATGGTGAGAATGGCGACGCGGGATGCTTGATGATCAGAGAACAAGAGTTAGAGCCATAGCCCGCATATAGAGCACCAAAATACAGAAAATATAAGAGACCAACCTTTGGTGAATGCGATGATTTGAAGCCGAAGTTTTCCTTTTCCGCTTGTCAACAACAAAGGGTGGAGCGCGACCCCGGCTTAGATAAGCGACACCGGCGCCGTTATGACGACGTCTCCCGCAAGAGAGTCGGGATTGCCAGACTCGCCAGGGACAGATTTACCTACTTTATCGGCTCAGGGCGAAGCGAGCTAACTGTAGCCGCAGAAATTTGCCAATAAATAAGCAGCTCACAGTCTTTACACCCGCTTCTTCCCTATTTTCAGGACTATGGCGGCTCCGGCCGTATCATACAAGGTAATATGCCGAGGTTTCCCCTCCTCATTGCCAGCAGTCACTCACCATATACACCCTATCTAGGACCGGCAGTTCCTTGCGGTCATCGGAGATGAAGAGTAAGCCACATCATCACTATCTTATGAGAGAAACACTTTCGCTAACCTTCCATTTCCAGCTCCGTAACAGGTCTCCTCCTTGCCGGTGTCGGTGTACGTATCCTCAAACCACGGCAGCCAGATAACGGCAAACATGCGACCACAACTAATTTGATACATTGCAGCATGTCACAGATGGCGCGGATGCTCAGCGAAACTTTCTTGTGGTAGACTCAAAGACTGAGACCGCCGCGATTGAGAAAGCATTCCAGAACTTCACTCAGGAGAGGAAAGATATCGCCATTGTCCTTATCAACCAGCATGTATGTGCCTTGTTACACTTCGCAATGTCCTTAACCTGCAACGCCTGCGAACTATACCATCTTCTGAGTGTCTGTAGCTCGCTGCTGACGATTAAATACAGATCGCAGAGCGTATCCGGCACAGCGTCGATTCCTACGCCGAGGCTTTCCCTGCCGTTCTCGAGATCCCGAGCAAGGACCACCCGTATGACCCTGAAAAGGACAGTGTACTCAAGCGGGTGCGACGCCTGTTTGGAGAGTAGATATAACGCGCTTTCAATTTTGATTTGAGATTTCATATGCATTACTATCTGGTGGTGTTGTCTCATTGCCCTGTCCCTTGTTTGCCGTTTCGCGAAATATACAGATGGAATGAGAGTTAGCTCGAAGGCGGAGGGGAAGATACCCAATTATATCATTATGCATGACAATACCAAGTTCACAGAGGCCACTCGTACCGGTCTTTCGCTACGTTGGACCCCAAGCCTGGCTACTTACTAGCACATTTCATAGGCTATGCTCTCAGTAGGTTCAATGTTTCAAATGCATTTTAGTACAGATGCTAGGTAATGCCAGTAAAAGAAGGTCACGGATTATAATAACAACGATAAGGATGGACTACAATATGTGGCACTAAACCAAGACCCAAAACACCGTTGAAGACGTAGCGCAACGAAATGTTAGCAACAATCGTAGAGCGTGGCATGGCTTTCGTAAGCTTTGGCATGTCACTGTGAGGCTCGAGGATGAAGGCGGGCTTAAGTAGAGGCAAGCGGAGAAAACAAAACGACAACATATGCAAGTAGTAACGTCAGCTCGTTATGGGCGATAAAACGCAAGGACAACCAGCGTCAACAGCGCAAAATATGCATCGCGGCCATGTACTCAGAAGCACCGAGTCAGCTTCACATGAAGCCCGCCTTGAACTCGATGTTACGGGCCTGAAGGCAGGTAACATGTTTATCGTCTTTGGTGTAAACGTCGGCATGCACAGTGTACTTGCCCTGTTGATTGATCATGACCTGGTTAATCTCGACATCGATAGCGATGTACTATAGGGAATCACGTACCGGAGGGATCTGTCTGGGCAGCTCAACTTGCTTAGTTAAAGTCATCTCGCCCTTCTCTAGGGGACATTTGAGGTCAACATTGACGATCTGCTCGCACAGGTCGGCCGTCTGCCTGACCAAAGTAATCAAGCCATATTTGACCTCCAAATTCACATATGCTCCATCTTCAATCTTCTCATTCAGGGTACCCGTAGCTTGGATGATGAGAGTCTTTCCACTATAGAGCGATCAGTATGCGATCCAGTTCAGGCAAGACAGGCTAATTGAAGCGTACGGCAGAGGAGGATTAGGCGTTAGGTCGACATGATCTATTTGCAAAAGATAGCTCGAAGGATCATTGCAGTACTCGAGGGGGTTATCGCCTTTCACAGCCTCATTCTCTGCTTGGATGGGGGTTTGAGAGTTGAAGAAGTCCAGAGACCGGGCGGTAGAGAAGGGGGCGACGCAGAGGAGGAATGTAGCGGCGGTTGATAAGAGCTTCATGGTCGCAAAAGGGCACAAAACAGCAGTTTTCGTTGCGTATAAGAATCAAGTGATAGCGAAGGACTAGCTAAGCTAATATGAAGTATATTCGAGAAAGTATTGACGGACGGGAAATCACCAGAGGTACAGATAAGAGAGACAAGACGAGGCAAGAGAGGATGAAGAGCGGTGTCATGGGACGGCGGTTCCTGTCTTGGCAGCCGCCGATGACGACGGACGCATTGGGAATGCACGTGATGGACTAGCGCCTGACCTTACTTTGGCACTAGGAACCATTTGTCCTAGATCATCAGATCCCATGGATCCCTATCTCAAACATACCATGAAGTGAACACAAGGAAATGCATGCCGAAGGACTGTATCATGGTTCTGTCTTTCTTTCCGTGACCTCGCTGTCTTTCGATGGGCCCTACGGATGTCTTACCCGTCTCACTAAAGTTATGGAGTCCGAAGCCCTCATGGCATGGGGATGACCCACCGCCCCGGATGAAGCGCAGCCGTTATCGATTTACAACGTCCATATATCTAGATAACAAAAGGTACGTTTTGTTTAATCCACACAACACCACTGCACCGCAATCGTCCTTGGTTCTTATAGGCCTGAAGTGGGTCAAAGTGAATCCCAGATGATTTTCCAAATCAACTTGAAAGTAGAATCGTCATTGTGAAGGCTACTATTTACAAGGTATAATATCAATATTATTATCATATCACGCTCAATGCTCAGAGACGAAGATACCAGCCATGCCCATACCCTATAAAAAATTATTAGCCTGAAGTTCGACATCTGCAGGGTGCACAACTTTATAGAACATCTTACCGTTCCAACACACATCGAGGTAACAGCGATCCTCTTGTTTTGTCGGCGTAACTCCGAAAGGGCGGTCACCACCTGACGCGCTCCTGTGCAGCCCAGAGGGTGGCCAAAAGCACTGCTAATCGTCAGCATGATGAGGCTTGGATTCGGCGATTCAAAACTTACATGGCACCGCCACGGGGGTTAACCTTGGCCTCATCCAGGCCCAGCTTCTGGACACAATACGTTCCCTATACCAAAATCAGCGAGTGGTCATGGCCCGGACGAGAGATGACCACTTACCATTGAGGCGAATGCCTCGTTAATTTCAAAGATGTCGATATCGTCCTTGCTCAGACCGAACTTGGAAAGAATCTTGGGAATGGCGATCGATGGACCAATGCCCATGATTCTAGGTTCCAGGCCTGCAACTGTAGCACCGCAGAACTTAGCTACAATGGGTTGACCGAGCTCTTGGGCGCGAGATCGCTTCATGAGAATGAGACCGGCAGCACCATCGGTAATCTGACTGGCATTACCGCCTGTAGTAGCGCTAGGCGTCCATTGAGGGAACGCAGAGCGGATCTTGCCTAGAGACTCAGCCGTGGTACCGTAACGGATACCATCATCCCGGTCGACGACAACTTCCTTGGTCTCGCCCGTCTTGGGGTCTTTAATCACCGTCTTCACCGGGACAATCTCGTCGTTGAACCATCCAGCCTTCTGGGCATGCTCGGCTTTCTGGTAGCTGTTGGCGGCAAACCTGTCATGCTGTTCACGGGTAATGTTGAACTGTGAGGCAACATTCTCGGATGTCTGTCCCATAGGTTGGATATTCTGCGAGGCGATCGGGTGGTTCATGATCTTGGAGGACATTTCGGGAGAGCCACCATCGGCGTTGGTGCTCATACTCTCAGCTCCCACAGCTATACCAACATCGATAGAGCCAGCCATGATCTGGTTGGCAATGTTCTGGACGGCGAGCAATCCGGAGGAACAGAATCGATTGGCGACCGAAGCAGCAGCTGTGACCGGAAATCCGGCGGCTAGCACAGCTGAACGAGCGACGTAAGCTGCGCCGGGGCACAGCACATTTCCAACGCAAACATCTTCGACAAGATTGGGGTCAAGATTCGATTTTTCGCGGACGGACTAGAAGTTATATGAGACGGAGAACATGTCGGCGCTGAAGAGGGTGGGAAGACAATACCGTCAGCAACGAGATGAGAAGATCATCGAGTTTCGTGTCTTTCAAGCCGCCCTTTCTGGCCTTTGTGAGCGGGGTCCGAACGGCCAGTGTAATCACCTGCCACTTGTTAGTTTCTGTTATACCAAAGACGAATAGAGTGCGCATTCCATACAATATCGTCAGGGTTCTTGGACAAGACTCTCTGCTTTCCAGACGCCGCACCGGGGCCCGAAAGCTGGTTTGCGATCGAGGTCAATCGTTGCTGTGCGGAAGACATGATTTGGGCAGCTTCTTTTCTCTTTCCTCGTATGAATGCCGATACGAACCTGCTTCTAAAAACGGAGCAGCTCTTTCAAGATGTGGCAGACAAGGAGAATATAAGGAATAAGAAAAGAAGAGAGATTAGCTATACTCCACGTATCTCGGAGAGAACAACCATCAATTACTTATTATTAACCTGGGGCAAACACGGGGATCAAAAGAACAACCGCGGCTCCCAGAAACCCCAAGGTTAGACAATACAATAAATTACTGGGCAAAAACCACCGAGCCGAAACTCGTCTCGGTATCAAACGCCTGCAGACCCAGCCGGGGGTTTCAAAGGCCGAGTGAGTGGCAGCCGAAAGAAATGCCGCCTTTTGGTTACACGGCGGTATGATACCGTCACCCCCAACGCCTCGGTTGTCGGTCCTTTTCCTAGAGAGTGCACGTATTGCGGGAAGTTGGCCACTCTCTGCCTCCGGTAAGATGGTCTCCAATACAGCGCCATTACCGTCGGTTAATTGTGTGGGTCAATGACGGGCCGGTTTAGCGTCCAGAATTGCCTCCCCGGATTTGCTGAAGACTCATACCCATGTCTAGGGTTATACTCACTTATCAAGGTCAGAAAAGACCGCCAGGTTGTGCTCAGATGTGAATATGACAGAAAAATTGGGGACACGGAGTATATATGTATATAGTATCCCTACAGAACATTTGAAGGTGTATGGGCACATAGGATGAATCTCAACTGCATTGCAGAACGCAAAGAAAATCCGGCTCGGACCTGCGCCCGCGCGTTATCTATGCGGAGCGCGTGGGAAAGGCGCCCTCCAATTGACGCCTCGCGTGCCATCTCTCGGAAGCCAATTCAACATTCTTTTGCCGCTGCTTGCTTTTCTCCAGGCATGCTTACAAAGTACATACCAATAGTGGACTAAGTGTATGTAGTCAACACTAGTAATCCCCACCACTGGACGGCAGCTTTCGGTGGCTCACGTCCCGACCCCAGATTCCGAGCGCTTGGATTTTCATGACACAATTCTGTTCCTATATTTGCCCACTTCCCCGTATCAGAGCGGAGCTATGTCTATATTTTTGTAATCGAAACTCTTCCTGATGTGGGGTTGAATGTCCGAATTCGATATCTGCCCGCAATTGACTTGAACTCGTCTCATCAATTGAGTGTGAGACATCAGAAGAAGTTCATTCCTTGTCTTCTGTAATCGGTATTCTTTCCCAGCATACAGAAATTCTTACCACAGCATCATCTTCCACATGGAGTACTTCTCCGAATTGGGTGGCCCCTCCATAGCAATTGCATCGGCTCTTTCCGCCGCTGCAGGGGCATACATCAACGCCAAATTCTCTATCTCGACCGATCTCTCATTGCTATACAAAGAACGAACATGGGCAAATCGCCTGGGTCAGCGGATTGCCCAGCTGGGCGATACCGCCACGCTGTATAAGATGCTGGAACGGGTGGTGGAAGTTGACGGACAGGGTGCAGCCGAGGCCTTGTGGTTTGAACACAAGACGTGGACTTATAGCCAGCTGAAAGATCGTATGTGAGCTCCGTATATTACTGGGTTGTGTGCTCTTTTGACTAACTGTGCCTATAGTTGTTGATAGATTTGCGTCCTTGCTTCACACCAAGGACATCCATGCCGGGGATTTTGTGGGCGTCTTCACCACGAATGCCCCGGAGATGGTGGTGACAATCTATGCACTCTCCAAGTTGGGTGCTGTTGCTGCTCTCATTAACACCAATCTGCGCGGTATGAGAATTAGATGTTCTTTGTACACATATTGAGGCAATTACTCACTGACAATGCTCTGAATAGATGATACATTCACCCATTGCCTGAACGTATCCGGAAGCAAATTCATTGTTTCAACGCCCGACCTGTCGCAATTTGTGTGTTCCGAATTGCCTCATCTGGCTTTGAACCTAGGGTCTTTCGACAGCAGCTCTGCGGGAGAAATCCAAGTGATCACGCCTTCAGATCTACAACAATACTCACCGACCGCGACAACCCCCGCTAAGAGATCCATCAGCGATTTGACCTCGCTGATTTACACCTCGGGAACGACAGGCAAGCCCAAGGCCTGTGCCATCCGCAACATGATGGCTCTTGTCACGTCTAACCCTAACACAACCGACCTCGATGACCGCTCCAAATACTACCCCTTGCGCACATACTCCCCTCTTCCACTTTTCCACGGTACGGCGTTCTTCACTGGTCTCTGCTATTCAGTCGGAAATGCAAGCACTCTTTGCCTTCGGCGCAAGTTCTCCGCTTCTCAATTCTGGAAGGACGTCCATGATTCGAAAGCCACACGCATCCTATACATCGGCGAGCTCTGCAGATATCTGCTGTCAACACCCCCTTCCCCTTATGATCGTGATCATAACTGCATTGTTGCGAGTGGCAACGGGTTGCGCGGAGAAATATGGGAGCGCTTCCGCCAACGTTTTGGAGTCCCGGAGATTCGCGAGTTCTATCGGTCAACGGAAGGCGTGGCCAAGTTTGATAACTGGGGTGAAGGAGCGTGGGGTGCTGGAAAGGTGGGATTCTCTGGTCCCATTAAGCGACGCTTCGAGGACGATACGTTCATCGTCAAGTACGATACCGAGACGGAGATGCCCTACCGTGATCCTAAGACGGGATTCTGTGTACCGGCCAAGCTTGGTGAAGAGGGAGAGGCGATCGGTCGGGTCAAGAGCCGCGGCTTGCTGACTGAGTACCTGCATAATGAGGATGCGACCGAGAAGAAGCTTCTGCGGGACGTTTTCAAGAAGGGTGACCTCTTTCAACGCACTGGTGACTTGGTTGTGAGGGATCACGATGGTTGGGTCCGGTTCCAGGACCGTGTGGGTGATACTTTCCGCTGGAAGGGAGAAAATGTCAGCGCTGGAGAGATTAGAGATCACATCTGTCGGATACCATCCGTCCATGATGCGGTTGTTTACGGCGTGAAACTGAGCGGGTATGATACCAAGACTGTCCCTGGCCTAAGAAATCACACTATGGCAAGATAGCTAACAAAGAGTATCAGGTATGATGGTCAAGCCGGCGCGGCTGGTATCACTCTGGAGGATGCCTCTCCCGCAACCGAGGAAAGTCTCATGGCCAGACTCTACTCGGACTTGAAGAAGAAGGGTGTGCCATCTTATGCATTCCCACGTCTTGTCCGACTCACCGAAAAGTAAGTAGCTTTCTGCCTTCTATAAGACTTTGGCCTTGCTAACCTCTTTCAGGGTGGAAACGGGAGTTACGTTCAAACAAGCCAAAGGAGCGTTGACCAAGAAGGGCTGGGACCCTCGGACAGATTGGGGTGGTGATAAGCTGTACTGGCTAAATGGTACAGTCTATCAGAAACTTGATGAGCAGGGCTGGGCATCGATAGAAAGTGGGCAAGCCAAGCTGTGAGCTTGGCGAGCATATTCTTGTAGAAAGCATCCCGCGTGTATATAATGCTACTTCTTTTATAACATTTATTGTAGATAGACACAGAAAGTCATGTGTCTCAATAGAATACCAGCCGCTTGAGCATCTCCTTCCAGACCATCGTGTCCAAGAAGACAGTTGTAGAGACCACACACTCAAAAGACTGCAAAATGACACAGCTGGCCCGGAATGCCTTCACAACCCGCATTTGGTGTGATCGTCTTATCGGCTTATCTGCCTCGCTTTACTGGTTCGTCCGGGGAATTGCGCGCGGGGTCGACCCCCGCTACATTCCAGGATCATTGCAAGCGTGCATTCTCATTCACAGAACAGAGTGACAGGGTGAGCTTGTCAAGCAATCCTGACAATGGCTTCTCTTAACTCTTCCACCAATCATCCACCTCCTCGAGATGAACACAACCCTAAAGAATTGAACGTGGTGCAAGAACTGGACCAGGACAAAGATGTCGAGCAACGAGTTGCGCCCGACCAGGTTGAGGACAAATTTCGCACCACCAGATGGGAGATCTGGGCTTATTATGCGTGCGTTATAGACAATATTCCGTGTACTTGGTACTAAACAACAGCTATCAGTTACTACATTGGCAACAATGGCCTTTCTCTATTCAGTAAGCCACCATCTTTTATTGCGGCCATTTTCCCAGGAAGAAAGCTAACAGCAAATACCGACTTTGCACCCACTGCCTGCCAGAACCTCCTCTCCCAGGCTGCAGGCGATCAAGGCACCCTATACTTTGCCGGAAGACAACGATCCATAGACAGCATCGTCCTGCTAAGCAACGGCATCTCCTTCGCCATTCAGGTCGTCCTCTTCCTCATAATCGGCAGTTTCGCAGACTTTGGCAACTGGAGACCCAACATCCTGATCGTGTTATCGGTCGTCGCATACGCCATTGGCTTCGCTTGGCTGGGTGTACACGAAGCCGACAAATGGCACGTCGGAGTTGGACTCTACATCGTCGGGCTGATCGCCTACCAGACCACGCTGACGTTCTGGACGGCAGCGTTTCCGGGTCTCGCCCGGAACACGAAGGAGATGAAGGATGTCGCGGAGCAATACGTCGCGGGAAGTATCTCCAGAGACGAGTACGACCATGTCGACACCATGAAGCGTAGTCAGCTTGCCAACATCGCTTTCTATGTGCAATCGGTTGGAGAGCTGTTCGTGCTAGCTGTCATTGTGGGGATTATGTTCGCATTGAACGTCGATGCTAGTGAGAGCAACAATAATTGGGGATTAAGCGTCCTTATTGCTTTCGCTAGTGGCGTTTGGCTTCTCGTTTCGTTACCGTGGTTCATTCTGGAGAAGAGACGCCCAGGACAGGATCCCCAGGGGAGCAATATTGTCCTTGCTGGGCTGAAGCAGCTCGTCCATGCGGCGAGGCAGGTCTGGAAGTTGAAACAGAGCGTTATATATCTTGTTGGTATGGATATCTTCACTCATGCCGTATATCACCCTCAGACCATTGACATACACCCTACAGGCTACTTCCTCCTCGGCGATTCCCTTAACACCACAGTGACCGTCATATCCACCCTGCAAAACAGCATCGTCTCCTACAACACACTCCAATTGACCTACCTCCTCCTAGTCGGCATCGCAGCCCAAGCCATCGGCATCTACGCCTTCTGGTACGCCCAAAAACGCCTCAACCTCAGCACCAAAACCATGTTCAATTTGATCGCCATAGCCATCATCCTCCTCGACGGCTGGGGCATGATAGGCATCTGGACCCAGAAGTTCGGCTTCCACCATCTGTGGGAGGTTTGGGTGAGTCCATCACTTATATACTACTACGACATACATACTTCTCTCCAACAACTAACCCCTTTGACAACGATGCAGCTCTACCAAGCCTACTACGGCCTCTTCGTCTGCCCGTGGTACAGCTACTCCCAGATAATGATATCAGAAGTGACGCCTCGCGGCCACGAATTCCTCTTCTTCAGTCTGTTCAGTATCGTGGGCAAGACGTCCTCGTTTATTGGCCCGCTCGTTTCAAGCGCCATCATTGATGCCTCGCCGTCGGGGAATAGCTCCACGCCGTTTTACTTTCTTTTTGCGTTAAGTGTGCTTAGTTTTGGGTTCTTGGTTGTGTTCTTGGATTTGGGCGTGAGTAGGGAGGAGCAGAGGGCTTTTTTGAAGGGGAGGGAGGAGGAGGTGGAGGAGGAGTAGGTTTTCTGGGTGGGGTGGTGAGGGTTTTGGTTATGTATTTGACACTTAGTAGAAGTTGTTTGGTTAGGCTGATTGGGGAATATTATGTGATGAGGATTGTACGAGTGATGTGGGTTGGCTAGTATGAAAACAATCATAAACTATTTAATTCTGGTACCATATCAGATAAAGCCAGTTGGGAAGACTAATAGCTCCCAACTCAGTAAGTTATACATGACCAATCCCACTCAATACAGGCTTTTTTTGTTTCCCCCTCCCAAATAACAGCAAGGGGCATAAGTGAGAAGAATAAAGTGAAAGAAAACTCCAGCCCATGCTATGCCTAAGCGCCTTATATATCGAACGTAGTATACGAAGGGTGATAACCGAAGCAAAGGAAAGAAAACAGAGACCGACAGAGGATATCAGGTTAGAAGGGTGAGGCAGCAACTGCAGCAGCAGCATCACGCCTCGCCATCCGACGCATCCTCTTTCGACTTGGACTTCTTCTTCTTCTTCTTTTCCTTCTTCTCGGCACCTTCGTCGCCATCTACATCCGCGGCCTCGGAGTCGCGCTTCCGCTTCTTCTTCTCTTTCTTCTCCTTCTTTTCCTTCTTCTCCTTTTTCTTCTCCTCCGCAGCGTCTAGCTCCTCGGGCGGCACGAACGCCTTCTCGCGCTCCTTCATCTTCTCCTCGCGCTTCAACCGCTGTCTCTCCATGACCTCCTCCTTCTGCTGCCGATCCTTCGCCTCCTTGGACAGGAAGTACTCGCCCGACTCGATCTGGAGATCCACCTTGCTCTTCTCCGGTGCCGGAGGGAAAGGAGTGTACACCTTCTTCGTCTTGTCGGTGACCTTGAACGGCACGCGACGCTTGGACAGCGTGCGCTTCTTGAAGTTGGGCAGGAAGCGGTCCCAGGATTCGTTCGCCAGGGTGGGGTCCTTAGCCAGTTCGCGCTTGATCATGAGTTCCTTAATGTGGTAGATGGGGTGGATGTTGGCCATGCAGTCGTTGATGATGCGGCGGACTTCCTTGAGACCCTTATAAGGGCCCATGGCGGCGACCGTGTTACCCTGGACCAGGATGTAGGTGCTTGTAAGCAGCTCCAGGGCTTTCAGGGTGGATCCACCGGGGCCGAGGATACGTTGACGACGCTTGACGAAGCGCTCCTTGTTGCGGACTTGGTTGCGGATCTTGATGATGTCGCATGCGACGTCGTCTTCGAGGATTTTGAGAGCCTATTTTGTTGTTGATGTGTTAGTAGGTTGATTTATTGGGTAATCTTAGAATCATAATCCAGGGTTGTTTACCTGTTGCACCGGCACACTTCTCGACAACAGCTTGATCAAATCACGGGCCTTGAGGATCGCAGCAGGATCAAACGTCTTTCGGGTCGTCTTGACGGTCATGCTACCCTCGACCAAATCCAGCGTGCAGGCAATACCGAATTTCTCGAGCGCTCTTGTCACAACAGGCCATGCTTCCTTCAGGTAGACTTCACGGTACTTGGGGAACAGAGTGGCGAAGGAAGATTCTTCAGCGAAACTACCGGCGACATTGTCATCGGGTTGGAAGGGTTCGACCTGGTCGCAACAAATTTGCAGTTAGTTTCGGCCTAGTTTTGAGACTTTCAATGTTTGTATTCTCGCGTGGTAGAGCATACCTTCCACTTGTCAATGTCATCCGTGTCCCACGGCTTGTCCCTCTTGTAGGTGGAAGGCATGATGAGTCCAGGGGTGGCTCTTGTGATCTGCGACGGTGATGGAGAGAGACTTGGAGTTGATGATCGAATGGCGGCCAACTTTTTCTGAGTCCCCGCGGGTGCTTACCCGATTGGGTAATTTATTGATGCCTGTGAATTAAGGTTTTAATAAGGCATCAAGGCCTGTGTGTAAGATTCCCGCCGTAAGCGCCCAAGCGCGACTGAGATGATGATCGAGCGTCTGTTTGATGGAGGCTCTTACGGGTGGCTACGGCGTCACTACGGTCTGGGCTATGGGGCATGTTTCTGATCATTCACTATTATTTGTAGGCATCCATCGCGCAAGGAGAGGTCCAGCATGTCTGACGGGTGAACCAGCTGCAGTAAGGGACGCTTTTGGTTGTCCAATCGATATGATACGGTGATTCGATGTATCAGATCTTGGTGGTTGGTGCGACTTTCTCGTAGAATTACGGAGAAGCCCCCGTTTAATTAAGCGACGTGCTGCTATTCTCTGATCCCGACCCATTTGGGCCCATCGCCAAAGCGGGTCAACAAGGATCGGTGTTCATACCATGAAAATAGATAGCTGTATGGCTTCGGCCTGACTGCAAGTCTCGGGATAAGATGGATTTGTTATCATCGCTCCTCGGCTTGAAGCAGCCATTGAGCATTCCTCAAACATGGTTGGTTGACAATGGCTCCTGAGAGCGCTCCCTGGGTATCTTTGGGGCTTGTGCGGCAGTCTGCTCTCTAAAGTTGGACTCGATGGAGGGAGATCAGTAGGTGGAAACGCCAAGTAAGCTCTCATGACCAGTCTATTGTAGTAATAGAGCAAGGTACATGCCCCGGTACATACTCAGCAAGAAGAGTCCTTTCTGCTGGTAGGATAGGTCAAGGCTACCATCGCGTCCTGAGCCAAAGGAGCACCCCGAATGGGGCGACGGGGCTCGATCCATCGAGGACGGGCAGGCAATGACTGCGTAAACCATTGTCTTGCCCCATGTGCTCATGAAAAAAGACCTCGCGAACTGTTATTATTCAGATGCGGGTTGCTGCGAGGAGAACATCTGGGCCTGAGCTTATCTTGGGGCGGTCATTTCTGATCGAGTCAGTCTGTGGGCAGGACTCAGGCACACCTGGTCCCGTGGCTCTGGTTCCGTCCCGAAACGCTGTTTCCTCCTACTCTTCTCGTCGCCGTAAATCTTGTTTTCTTCTTCCTCCCTGGTTTACCCCTTTGTGTCCCTGAACCTTGAGGTTCCATCATTTCATGGTCATTCCTGGGGTGTTAGCTCTGCTCTTTCCCTCCCCATTCATGACTCGTTCAATATCCGCAATTTACCTTCCAAGATGAGCTAATTGAGCCACCCGATTACCACCGGCACCTCCCTCTTGGTGGGGTGTGGCTGGCCCATCACTCCCCTCATCGGTGGTCGTCAGTAATGGTACTAAATGGCCGCGTTTCGTTTGCCTCTCCATTCACCTGTCCAGCCAGTTGCAACGAGCATGGTTTCTTGTCCTGCCCGCATAGCTCCTTCCTATTCTCGATTTAGTAGAAGCCAAGTCCAGCCGGATCCCAACCCAATCCGTTAGTGCAGCGCTCGAGATATTTCCGTGAACGCCATCACTTTCACCAGTACCACTTGAATCATTACTCCGGCAATCTTATGCTTGTTCAAGACCTGAGACGGCTTTGGTGCCCGGCAGGACTCGATCACGGTGATCCAAAACGTCAGGAAGCTTCCTGGCGTCTCAACAGGCTTCGAAAGAAGATCACTGGGATGAGGAGTTGTCGGGAAGTCCGTGACAGTATACTGGGGCTCTATCTGCTGATCAGATGAAAGCTTATTGCGGAGGAAAATGTTTGAAGGGGATTCTTTGGCTGGGCATTGTCTAGCTTATCTCGAACTCCAGCCTCGAAGTCAATACCCAAACAGTACCGGTTCCCATCATGCATCCCAACGACATCCCCGATCTGCTGCGTCCCCAATCTGCATTCTCAAGACCGCTACTCCAACCATAAGGCCCTCTATAATGGCTTTCGTCCGATAGCAACGTACCTGAATCGTCAGCATCAGTCTGTACCATTCGAACGACCCACTTACAAAGGGAAATATGTTTTCAGGCTCGGGTTTTCCGCTTCTTTTTGTGCTTGGTCGATCAGCTGCTGAAATTCATCGTGCGACATGTGTAGGCGTTGGGTCAAGGGATAGAGTGCTACTGCAGTGAGCAGGTGTCTGGTGATCTTGCGGGTGGCTTTGCCTATGTCTCGCATCCTCGGTTCTACTGGATTGTCAGTTCTATCCACTAAAACTGGCTTGGAAGAACTCACCGCTAGACCATTCACAGAGGGGGACAGGTATCATCGTGGATTCGACTTCCTTCAGCCCTGCTGCTAGCAGGAGATCTCTCAGGCGGGTGCCTACACGAAGATCCTTGACGTCTTCCACTGAGCTCATGAGCTTTGTACTCCACTGTCTCAATGCGTGCTTCTCCGTGAGCGAACCGTTGTCCGACTGGACGTTGAAGTAGATCTCGACCAACTGCACCCACCCGCCTGGTTTCAAGACTCTATTTCACCTTAAAGTCAGTTTCGCATTATCTTCACAGTATCCGTGACCCTAGGGCCCGCTCCTTACAACCGGACCTTTTGATGTCTTGTATGTATGACGACCATCGGGATCCATCGATACCTGTTGCCATCATCCTCGAATTGACGAGATCGAAATATTTAGGGGGGAAGGTGAAGGGGCGGTTCAGATCGTCGACCTACGGAATCAAAGATTAGATTCATCTCGATGCGGACAGTTTGACAGACATAGGTTTCATATTTGAGAAAAATTGTGTGCTCTGGCACTGTGCAAAGGCACACTCATAGGTGTCAGGAGAGAAGGAGCCTTACTTGAAACTCCAAGTTTTCCGCCACATCAAAATCCTCATCGTCGTCATCTGGTATCATATGAGGGGATATATCAACACCGATGACCTTCAAATCAGTTATGCCGTTAGTCATTCAGAGAAAATGACAGCACTACTTGTCCGGATCTAACCTCGCATTCTGGAAATTCTTCTGCTACCTGGATAGCCCAGGACCCCGCGCCGTGACCACAATCAAGAACTCTTTGAGGCTCACAGTTTCGCGGGAAGATCAGCCGACTATCAAAGATCTTGTTAAAGACTTTATTCTGGAGCTCGAGTCGATTCGCCTCATCCTAGTGATATGGAAGTCAGCCATGGCCTTTTGTGGCGCAACGTTCTTGGCTTCTACACGATCAACTGGCTGAAATGATATCTCATTATCAATCGAGTACTGCTGATATTCGCGTCCGTGAACGGTTATTGTGTGGCGATACGTCTCGTCCAAATTTTCCGTCTGCGAGTCAGGGCTCCTTGTTGATGGAAGAAAGGTTAGTCTCTCCTGACAGCACGCACGGGTTATGGCAACAGGCTGTGTACGTCATTGTTATTTCGTTCCCCAGGGTAGCTGTATATGCGTTGAGGCGGTTATGTTGATGTGTGGCAAAAGAAATCCAGTGCAAAAGGGGTTTCTATAATGTGAGAGAAGGTGCAATGGAGGCTGTGTGCTCAGTGGATGTTCCAAAAGCGGTTGATGCGGCACGCACCAGAATTCGGAGGGCGATAAAAGTCCCACTGGGCACAGACAAGGAAGTACTATCTTGGCCTCGCTGAACGAGCTGGGGGAGTACTTCCAATGCGGGACTCAGCGTCCGTACGTTTTAGTACGGATGAGAGAAAATTTCCGCTCTATGCAGGACCAAGCATCTGTCTGGGGGCAGAAAGACCAAAAACCATATATCATTGGCAGGTTGGTCCTGAAACGTATTTCCGAACAGGCAAGACCGGACTCAGGATAATCCATTCTCCAACTACACTATTTCGTGGCTTGTTGGGTGTACGCCTTGTTTGGGTCAAATACATGCTTATTCGGGCATTGGAGAGATTGCTACTATGGCCCAGGGGAAGGAGGGGCTGATAATCCCTTCCGGAGGGGTCAACAATTCCGACAGATTAAGCATATGGGCAGCCCAGGATGACTCCTTGGGCCCAGCCTGTAGGCCACGACCGGCTGCAAACCTGGAAGGCCGGTGGCACAATGGCTTTGACCATTCATCGGCTCGTTTCCCTTGTCCATAGAAGGCGAAGGATTCGCGCTGTCTTCCTCGCGATGACCGGGGCGCAGAAAGTTTGTTATTGTTACTAGGCTCGTATCGTGCCTGCTCAGATGGAAAGGAAGCTCTGTCGCATGAGCCAAGCCAAGTGCTAGTGAGTCTACTTCCTAAGCCACAAACTAAGAACTTGATAGCCACACACAGGATCTTTTCTGTCAAGCAACTATAGATGACAGCCTTGTGATCCACCTGGTTCAGATATGAGCCTGACTGTTAGTGTGCGAGGCCGTACCCAAGCAAATGAGATGGTGGGACGTTACAAATGAACTGCATTGTTCAGCCGCTCATAGGTCACATTCTGTATGACCATATTCAGCACAGGGGAGGGGGGAAAGCAAAGCGAGGCCGGAGGGGGTTGAAACTGTCAAAAATTTTGAGCTCCACTCAAGGAGCCAGTCAAAGACTCAAAGTTAGGGTCACCTAGTCCCGTCGCATTTATTGGAGGCCAAAGACTTCTCGGGGTTTGGAGGCGCAGAGCCGTCGGGATTCCTGGCTTCGTCCCGCTGTCACCTTCAAGGCAGAAGCGACTCTCCATTACGGCGACTACCTGGGATTTCAACTAACATACAAGGCATTCAGGGACGTAATATATGACGGCATCAATGCTCGAAACAGGTGGGGTTGTCTACTGAACGATTGTAAAGCACAGGTAGGCGAATCTAAAAGGTCGGGGAGGTGCTAAGTCTGCCACTAGCCCGGCCAATTTCGATGCAGGATTTTCTTGCCCCTTCTTATTATGACACTCGCCCTGCATCCACACACTCACCGCTTCTTTTGGTATCGCGCAATGATCTAAGGGCTTAGTAAATGCGACTAACAGCAACCTGAGAT